AATTTAGAAAAGAAAGAGATAAAACCATTGAAAAAGAGACGGAAATAAAAAGCAGAAGGAGAAAAGATAATAACAAATCTTTTTTACTTTTATTACCTAAATTGTTGCTTTCTGTTTCATAGTGATTTTAAATAAAAATTTTATCTAAAAACATAAAAATGTATGCAAAAGGAAAAGGATCCACAGTTCCATCAGATGCACAAGCGAGGGAAAAGTAAGTAGTGATATAAAAAAACAATATTAATAAAGATAAAATTTAATTTTAATCTAAGACCGCTTAAATCTAATACTTTTTTTTTTTCACGAAAGACTCGCTCTTTACGTCTACGAATATCTCTTACATGTTGGCGCACAAAAAGCGGCCCAAACTTTCCTATCAGAAATTCGATGGGAGAAAAACATCACGTTGGGTGAACCACCTGGATTCCTTCACAGTTGGTGGTGTGTCTTCTGGGACTTATATTGTGCAGCACCAGAACGTCGTGACACATGTGAACATTCATCAGAAGCTAAAGCATTTCATGATTATGGATTTGTTTCATCTGGGTATGGCGTGAACGGGATCGCACATGTATAAAAAGAAAAAAGTATTAAAAAGGTAACAGCTAAATTTAAATATTCTTATTCAAAATTTTAGAATTCTGGTCCTGCTCCAAGTCCACTTGGTCAATTACCAGCTAATGAAGGCTTACCAGGCGGACCAATGGCTCCTGGATTCTTTCCTGTAAGTTAATTTTACTGTTAATTATATTTATCAATATTAAATTTTTATTATTTTAGAATTCATCGTTAAGACCTTCACCTCCAACGCATCCATCGTCACAGCAATCTCCACATTCACAACCTGGTGCACCAACACACAATCAGATGATGCCGAACCAACCTTTTATGGGACCGAGAGGATATCCGGGAGGACCAAGAGGGCCTGGAGTTAGAATGCCACAAGGAATGGGCAATGAATTTAATGGCCCCCCAGGACAGCCGCTAATGCCGAACAACATGGATCCAACACGTCAAGGTAAAAATATCATGAAAATTGATCATTAAAAGCTTTTAAAGATTTGGTAGAATTTGAGGCTCTTAAATATTGACGAAAAGTAACAATCAAAGTTTGATTGCTGTCATCTCAAATTTTATTATTGATTCAGATTTTTGATTACACAATGAAAGAAACTAGCAGGAAATACTTATTTTTGTTAATTAAATATTCAGTTTACATGTGCAAGAGAATTTTTATTTAAGGTTGTAGTTCTACAAATAATTTTTCTTCTGTAATACGTAATTATTTATTATGAAAGTATGATGATAGCATTAAACTTTTCCTAACACCTTAAAACAATTTAACTTATTTTCTATGAATTTTCTGAAATATTTTTAACGCACTCATAAACTTCTTTTAAATTCATTTATAAAATCGAAAATAAAAACGAAACGATTATCAAAATAATACGCTCCATACGCTGCAGGAGATGGCGAATTTGTATGGCAAGGTAAGGGTGGTATGAAAATAATTTAAAGCATACGACGATGGTAGTTGATCGTATGATTAATTGTGTCTCTTTCTAATTCCGCATTCTTCATTTCTTTTCCAATCATTTATATTCTTGTGACCAAATATTTCTCATAATGAGAGAGTATCTAGGTGTTACTTTTATGTTTTCATTTTCGAAGATGTTTATTTATTAGATGTACTAACGTTTCATTTGTTATAAAGGAAAAAAGTTAATATCGTGAATCAATTATTGAATTTCCTTAAAATTGTTGCCAATATTTTTGAAAGTTAACGTTTTCATATACATAT